GGATTCGTCTGGGTGGTGCGTTGGGGGCTCCTCTGTGGACTCTTGGGGTAGGGGCCCAGGGGGATTCCCATCGGGAGTCCTAGTGAGATCCTCTGGGGAGCCCTTTCCAGAGGTGTCGTCTTGGAAGTCCCGTCGGGGTTCCTTTAGTGATTGCAATCGGGATTATTATGGGGGTCTTCCGGGGATTCCTGCGGGGATTCGCGCGGGGATTAGTATGGGAATTCCTGCAGTGATTCATGGCAGGCCTCTAGTGGCCGTCGGTCCAACCCGCCGTCTGCCACGGCAGTGGCGCGCTCTGTTGCACCCCCCCCATTGTGCGTCTGACGCAGGAGGGGCGCATTCCATTGAAATGTTTGACGCTTCGCGCGGCCCCACCAGCCCGCCGATGACGAGCGCGGCTGGGGGAATGTGAAGCCACGGGCTAAGACTCGCTGGGCCGCCGCAGCGGTCTGGGCGGCCTGCGCGTGCCAAATAATTCAAACGCACTTCGCCCATAATGATCCCTCAGGGTTCGCCGTGGGGCGCGTTCCGACCAGGAGGAGGAGGAGAAGAGGAGGGCGAGGAAGAGGATTGGGCGCTCTTAGGTGCGTCAAGGAGCCTATTGGGGCCTCGTGGGGGCGCCTCTTGGGGCCTCCTGGGCGCCTCCGCGGGCCCTGTTGAGGCGCTCCCGGGTGCCCTTGGAGCGCTTTGGGGACCATCTTGGAGGAGATTGATCAAAGAAGGGGAGTTTCTCAATTAGCTTCCCCCCTCTGAAGCCCAAACTTCGCCTGTTGGGCTCCTCGTGGGCCGCTCCTGGAGCGCTCTTGGGCGCTCGTTTGGCCGTCATGGGGCTCTCCTCGGCTTATCTTGGGGCCCTCGCGGGCCCTCTTAGAGCTGTCTTGTCGCCTGGGAAGGCCATCGGAAACGAACTGCGAGAAGGCACAATTCACTGATGTTCCTTTAGTGGTTAAAATGATGGCCTCTTGGCGGCCTCCTGGAAAGTCCCGGAGGCATCTTGGAGCCTCCCTCGGGCGCTCTTGGGGCATCTAGGGGGCCATCTTGAAGCATCTTATGCTATCTTGGGCACTGATGGAGGCCATCTCGTCTTGGGATATCTGAGGCCCTCTTGGCGCCATCTTGGACGCTCCAGCGCCCCGCGGGGCACCCCCCTCCAGGTCCAGGGGGCGGGGTGCGGGGGGGGGGAACCCTTCCCCGAAGGGGAAGATGGGGGTATGGAGAGACATTTCCGTATCCTGGTGGGACTTGTCGTTCCCATGACCGTCTGCCAAGGTCCCGTGCATGTCGTTAACAGCATCGTGCATGTCGTTAACAGCATGTCCCCTCCCATGGGGGCTTCCCGTTACCGCTGGCCCCTCTCCCCCGTGTCCGTCTACCACGGCAGGAGGGCGCGTTTCCATTGGCCCCCTTGTCCGCCTTGTCGCACTGTTCGTCTGCCACACCAGGGGAACTCTCCGTGGACTTTTGCCCCCCTCCCCCCCCCATACCTGGGCCGTCTGCCACGGCAGAGGGGGGCATTCCGTTGCCATGTGTCCCCTTCGGTTTTTGGGCTCCACTGGTGCTCCTCTTGTCCACCTGCCACAGCGTGGGGCCTTCCTGCGGTAACGTTTTTGTCTTGTGCAGGTCTTCGGCCCTAGCACACCAACCCCATTGTGCGCGATTTTTTCTGCAGAAGCGATTTATTTTAGAACGGGCTGTAAGTCACCCTGATGACTTTCGGCGCTCATTCTGGGATCCCTAATGGACGCGTGCTCCCACCGCCTCTGCACATGATACCGGGGCTTCGCATTGCAGGCAGGCTGCAATTTTGCGCCCCATGTCCGTGTTGCATCGCATTGTGTAGCATCAATCCCACTAAGTGGGATAGCTGTGTCCCGTAGGTCGTCTGCCACGGCAGGGGGGGCATTCCATTGCCATTTGTTCCCCTCGGCTTTGGGGCCACACTTGCGCTCCTCTTGTCCACCTGCCACAGCATGCGGGCTTCCTGTTACCGCTTGCCCCCCCACCCCGTGTCCGTCTACCACGGCAGGCGGGCGCGTTTCCATTGGCCCCCTCTGGGCCGTCTGCCACAGCAAGAGATATGTTTGTCACCTCTTGTTCACATTGTCCGTCTGCCACACCAGGGGAACTCTCCGTGGATTTTTGCCCCCCTCCCCCCCCCGCCTTCCCTACCTGGGCCGTCTGCCGCGGCAGGGGGGGCATTCCGATACCATGTGTCCCCTTCGGGAAAGCTGATCTTGAGCGGCGGAGATGGGAGATCGACACGACGGACGACGACGACGACGACGACGACGACGACGACCGAACATCGTGGCTAGGGAGCTCCACCGAAGGCCCCCCCCGGACTCGGGCCAGTGCGGCGCACCCGTCACGAGGATCGTGGCCCCATGGGGCGCTCCACCGAAGGCGCCAGCGACAGGGCCCGCATGGTGGACTCGGGCCACTTCGGCGCACCCCTCACGAGGATCCTAGCCCCACAGGGAGCTCCACCGAAGGCCGAAGTGGCAGGGTGCGCATGGCGGACTCGGGCCAGTTCGGCACACCCCTCACGAGGATCGTGGCCCCATAGGGAGCTCCACTGAACTCCCCAGTGGTGTTGTTCGCTTGCCTTTTGCTGGCGCCCCTCCGTCTTTTCACCTGCCTCGCGGTACTCGCAGTTGCATATGATTGTGTCCTTTGTCAAGCTAATTTGTTGGGGGTTAGCTCGTCCGCCAATGTCCGGGAGATGCGTGCGTGGCGGTATCCGGCAGTGTGAAAACGCGGATGCCGCCACACACGCACCCCGCAAAACACAAAGACATATTCGCGTTCATGCCAATGCTGTCTTGTGCCCCGCCTGGCGTGGCGGACAAATCCTGCCCCTTGGGCCGTCTGTCACGGCACGGGGGGCATTCCGTTACCATTTGTCCCCCTCGGTTTTTTGTCACATCGGGGGAACATTCCGTGACGATTTGCCCCCCCCCCCACCGGCCCTTTGCCGCAGCAGGGGGGCTGTTGCTACTTGTCTCCCTGACCGTCTGCCACAGCAGGGGGCGCCCTCCTCGTCGCCCCCCTCTCCTGATTGCTCCTCTTCAGTGGCCTCCGCTACCAGGCCGTTTGGAGATCGCCCTTGAGAAAACGCAGGCTTGCTTGGACCTGCGCGATATTTTGGCGAAGTGCGAGGGCGACGCGACAGATTGGGATGGTGTCCGGCCTGCTGTTGCAAAATGCGTGTCGTTGAATTGCACTTTTGGGTACCTGGAAACGAACAAGAACTTGTTGGGCGTGAAACTGTTAGGTGCTGCCATGGATCTGGCACAGAAAGCCAACGACAGCAACTTCGAGAATTATGTGTCGGACTTCGTCAGCATATTAAGCCCCTTCTCCCGCGACATGTTCGTCGAGCTTGGTGGCGTGGTGGACGAGGACGAGGACGAGTTGGCGACGTTGTTCCCGATGCAGAAATCATTTGATCCCCTGCGGCCCACCTTCTCGGCTTTGCAGATGCCGTCCGAGGAAAAGCTGGCCCTGATCAGGGACATCCTGGTAAACGACGTGTGGGCGAAGCTGCTGGGTCGAGGTCAAGACGCGACGTGCGTGATCATGTTGCTGTCGCATCGCATCGGTCTTTTGTTCGAAAATGCCATGGTTCACTTGGAAAACGTGCCAGAACCGTTCAAGGATATCGTGAAGGTCGCTCGGGTGCTCCACGCGCTCGCCGACACTGGGAACGACCGCCCTGAGCTCCATTACGTTTCCCAGGTGGAGTCCGCATTCGAGAGTGGGGAGCACACTGTATTGGTGGCCCTTCCTCTGTTTATCAGTGTAATGATGATGATGGTGATGGTGATGGTGATGATGATGATGATGATGATGATGGTGATTGTGACGATGACGATGGCGATGGCGATGGCGATCACGAAGACAAGAGGGGCGAAGGGGAAGAGGCGAGAAGAGAATAGGTGACCAGAGGGGCATGGGGTAAAGGACATCCCCATAACCTACCAAACTGTTGTTGGACAGGCCCGTCTTAAATGCCTCGACGGCCAACCAATACATCCACCATGACAGGAGAGAGACGGGAGAAGGAGCAGGAACACAGTCGGCTGGTATTAAACTGCGTACAGACATAACCCCGCCTTGCACAGCATAGCAGCAATGCGAACAGGCACGCCATGAATGACCACGAACGGCCAACAAAGCCCCGCACTTCTGGCGGAGTGGGCGCGAAGCCATATCAAATGCACAACTCCAGGTGTTGAGCCCGGTTTTGTCCACGCCGACAACGCCGAAAAAATGATAATCAAGAGGTGAGTGCCTGGGTGCGAAAGACAAGGGTAACGAGGAGGAGGAAGGGGGCCAACAGGAGGGGGAGGGGTGAAAGGAGAAGGAAACTAAGGAAGAGGAGGAGGAGGAGGAGGAGGAGGAGGAGGAGGGGAGGAGAAGAGGGAAGGAGGGAGGGAATATGACAACACAGGGAGGGGTATAGGGAAAAAGGGGGAGGTGGGCTACGATGTCGCGTCCTTGCACTGCCCTTCTTGCGAGGCGGATCTTCGTGTCATCATCAAACGCAGCGACTATTGGGTGACGGCCTATGATGACATTCTCAAGAATGAGGAGCGGCACAAACACAATTACCCGAGGTACGAAAAGGCAGTTCGGTCTTTGAAGCGCTTGGACAGCGCGGGAGGGGATGTCCCGACAGAGATCACGAGGATCATCGATGACGCCTCCGGCGAATTGCCGCCGCCCCCTGTCTTTCATGATACGCCCGTGTGGCCAAACGTTTGGGGAAAACTTGGCTGCGCTATTGGGCCATGATTTCTCCCAGCCGTTGTGGAAACCCGTCGGGGAACGCGTGGGGGAGGAAGAAAAGGATGAGGACAGGAACCAATTGGGAGCTCATTGGGTCAGTATTGCGGCCTCGTGGGAGCTTCCTGGGGGCCTCTTGGAGGCCTCATGGGGCGCCGCCAGACAGACCGCCAAACACGCCACCAGGCCAATAATCAAATCACCAGCCGCAC